CCCCCCCCCCCCCCCCCGCCATGCTGCCAGCCAGCTGCTGCACGAGGCCAGGGTGGAGCGAGGCTGTGGCACGGAGGCCATGGGTGCTCCTGTGAGGTGACAGGGATGAAGGGTGCCCATCTCTGCCGTGCTTCCCTCACCAGGGCACCATGGGGGGGCCATGGGTGCTCCCGTGAGGTGACGAGGCTGAAGGGCTCCCAACCCCGCTGTGCTTCCCTCACCGGGGCACCGTGGTGTGGCCATGGGTGCTCCTGGGAGGTTGACAGGGATGAAGGGCACCCATCCCCGCCATGCTTCCCTCACCGGGGCACCATGAGATGGCCGTCACAGCCAAGGAGATGTGGTTGATCTTCAGAGCCCCTGCCCTAACACTCAGTGAGGTCTAGGGAGCCAGGTGTCCTCGCCCCCACCTCCTCCTCCTCTCCAAGGGGGGCCCTGCCCAAAGATTGCCCGTGGGCCGCAAAGTCGAGATTTAACCACAGCAACACTCCTCACCGCAAATTAACTTGACAAATGTTGGTGCCCCTTGGCCACCACCTCACCTCCTTTGCCAGTCTGTAAACCAGCGGGCTCCAGGCATTTTTCATAATCGCACACCCCATCAGTAAAAAATTTTCTGAGCGTGCACACCCAACACATGTATATTTAGTTATTTATAAGTCATATCTACTGTACTACTGAAGTTCTAATATCTTCTTTGGAGTCTCCTGCAGCAAACACCCTGCACTGGGCGGCCATCTTAAACACAGAAAAACACCCTTCCTACACACGGGCGAGCACCGGCAGGCAGCAACGGCCACAGCTCTGAATTTATCATTAACCAGCTCTACCCAGAGGTGAGCACCAGCCCGCTCCAGCGCGCTGAAATTCCCTCGTCGAGCACGAAGCGCTCCCGCTCCCCAGCATTCGTCTGCTTCTTTGCAAAGTGCCGAAATGATGTATTTTTTTTATTTTTCCCCTTCCGCACCGATCCTGTTCTGCCTCAGCGCTGCTCCTGTGCCCGTGGCCGGCACCGACACCTCACAGCAGCCCGGCTCTCCCATCAGCTCAGCCTGGCAGGGAGCAGATGGCACCAGGAGGTTCTTAACCCACTCGAAGCCTTCCTGCAAGCTCCTGTCCAGACGATCCTGCCAGCTCCATACCTTTCACGGAGAGCGCTGACATGAGCAGTAATGAGCTTTTACCGAGCCTCAGAGCCCTTTCTTCACTCCCGCTTAACACTGCGCGATGCTTTCAGCAGCTCGCGTTGGTTCCCGGGCTGCGGTGCTGCCAAGGAGGTGCTGGGATGGGCTGGAAGGTGGGCACGCTGCCTGGGGCCCCCGCTCCAGAATCACAGAATGGTCGGGGTTGGAAGGGACCTCTGTGAGTCACCTAGTCCAACCCTCCTGCCCAAGCAGGGTCACCTACAGTAGGCTGTAGAGGACCTTGTCCAGGCGGGGCTGGAATATCTCCAGAGAAGGAGACTCCCCAGCCTCCCTGGGCAGCCTGGGCCAGGGCTCCGTCACCCTCAGAGGGAAGA